TTTTTTCCCTACAGAGACGCCCCTCCCGGGAAACAGGTAAGAAAGGGCTGGTGGTCGTGATGGGACGGTCGTTTGGACCGTCCCTCTCTTTTCTGCAATAAACATCAAACGGCAGAAGCTACGAGTGGCCCGGGGGTGCTGGGGGCTGTGATCACGGAACTGAGGCTGGCCACAGGAGTGCATGGACTGGCTTGAAGTCCCCAGAGGAAAAGCGGGACTAATGCTGTGTAGACAAGGAAATGCATCTGGTCAGAAAGCGCCGCCTTGGGGATTAGCAGTTGCCCCCCTGCCCGCGCCCCCCCCGCCCGCCCCCGTGATATTGCCTAAATTATTCCAACTTTATTTGTTATTCCTGGAAACCTTCGAGAGAGGCAGGGCGCGTTCACACGTGAGGGTTTTTAGTCAGTCTTTTTGTTTTTTATTGAACGTGTCAAACGGGTCGGTGTCGCTCTCTGTCTCTCTTCATCCTTTCAAATCCGCGAGATGTAAGTTAGAAAGCAGAAGGGTTTCGCTGGATCAGATTCCCCCAGGTGAGCAAAAGGTGGATCCGGCTCAGGAGGTGTGACGTCAATGCGTTGGAAATGTCCACCACCCAAAAGGGATACACTCAGTCGTGTGTATGCTGGATTGGATGCGAAAGGGCCTGTGGAGCCAGCATGTGAATGAACTGGGCCGAAAAACCTGAACTGTTAAAGACAAAACTATTAGACAAGTGCCTGGATTCCCACATGCAGATTAGCACTTCTTATTGAATCCTTCCTTCCTTCCTTCCTTCCCCCTTTCCTTCCTTCCGTCTTTCCTTCCTTCCTTCCTTCCTTCCTTCCTTCCTCCTTTCCTTTCCTTTCCTTTCCTTTCCTTTCCTTTCTTTTCCTTTCCCTTTCTTTCTTTCTTTCTTTCTTTCTTTCTTTCTTTCTTTCTTTCTTTCTTTCCATAACTCTGCCAACTAACTGCCAGCAGTTCGATCCAGACTGGCTCAAGGTTGACTCAGCCTTCCATCCTTCCAAGGTCGGTAAAATGAGGACCCAGATTGTTGGGGGCAATAGGCTGACTTTATAAACCACTTAGAGAGGGCTGTGAAGCACTGTGAAGCGGTATATACGTCTAAGTGCTATTGTTATTGCTCTTCCTTCCTTCCTTCCTTCCTTCCTTCCTTCCTCCCTCCCTCCCTCTCCTTCCTTCCTTTTTTCCTTCCTTCCTTCCTTCCTTCCTTCCTTCCTTCCTTCCTTCCTTCCTTCCTTCCTTCCTTCCTTCCTCTCACTCGCCTTCTCCTCGGAGGGTGGACTAGAGGCTGAGAAATTGAGAGACGCTGCATCCTTGCCGTATGACCACAGTTGAGACTAGAATTGATGTTGCTAAGATAGAAAACCGGTTAAGGGAATTTTTTGTGTGTCCCATTTTACGACGTTTCTTCCCGCATTGGTGAAGGGCGTCACTGCGGTTGTTAAATCAGTAACAGGGTTGTTAAGTGAATCCCCGCAGCCTTGGCTTCTCAGAAGGTGGCAAAAGGTGGACACGCGACCCTGGAGCACTGCCACGGTCACAAGTAGGAGGAATCGGTTGTCAAACCCTCCAGAGGTAAATCACGCGACCAGCGGGGATGCTACAACGGTCATAAGTGTGAAAAATGGTCGCAAGTCCCTTTTTTTGCAGCGCCGTTGTCGCTTCGAACGGTCACTAAACGAGGACTACCTGTAGCCACTGAGCAGGCAGAGTGTGCCATTAGTTTGAGAGACCGCGGCGCTAATCCATGACTGAGCCACGAAACCCCAGCGGTCTCAAGCTGGGGGGGCGGACGCCCTGCGTGGGATAGGGCACCAGAACCGGGGGGGGGGGGCTACTTCTCTTTCGCTCTGCCCACAGGCCCGCGCTTAACCCTCACTAACGGAGGCCAGCATGGCTGAATTAACCCGGCTGGGGTCCAGGCTGGGCTGGTGCAACCCTCTGGGGATCCTCCTCCCCCCGCCCCATCTTCCCCCCCCCCCCAGTTTCATGCCATCCCAGTCAATCGGTCAGCCCCCCCCTTGGATTCGCGTCGCGCGAAATCTGCTCCCGAGGCGGCTTCTGCGCCGAAAAGGGACCCAGGGGCGCGTTAAGTGGAACCCACCCACCACCCACCTCTCTTTCCCACGTCCCCGGGAGCCGACGCGTGTAAGCCACCCCTTCCCGCATTCCCAAGCAAGCTGCGGGTCACCGCTGGCTCCAACCGCGGATTCCAGGGCGGGAAGGCTGCTGGCGGGGCGTGGGAGGAGGAGGAGGAGGAGGGTGGCTCGCGCGCGCTCGGTGGCTCGGGTTTCCACGCGTCCTCCTCTTGCGCGCCAGCTTGCCAGCCCCGGCTCGAGCGCGCAGCTCCCCCGAGGGGCCCGGGCGGAGGGGGGCGCTCGAGAGCCGCCCTCCCGGTGGCTGGGCTTCCCAGGACCTCGGCTGGGCGGTGGGTTGCAGCCTGGCAGGCGGCGAACCCCAACCGTCCCGCCTGCTCCGCTGGAAGGGCGGGCACTTGTTCGCCTGCCAGCTCCGTCCTGCAAGCCTGCGGCGACGTCCCGGGACTGCTTCGGACCGTCTGCGGACCGGGCTCCCCTCCTGTCCCGCTCAGGAGGCGCCCAAGGAGAGGAACCGCCGCACGAGGTGGGCCAAGGGGGCGGGGGCGGGCAGGGACCCCCGCAGGAGTGCAAAGGAACGGGGGCGCAGCTCTTCTTCTCGCCCGCTTTCGCTTTGGGGAGGGGGGCGGGGTGGACGCCACACACCCCCCCCCCGGGAGGCTGAGGGCTCTTTTGCCTCCTTCAGTGTGGTGGTGAAGTAGCCTCTGGGCATGTGGCGAGTGCCGTTATCTCGAGGTCCGAAGAAGGAGCTGGGTGGGGTAGGGTGCGGGGAAGACCCAGGCTCGCCTTTTCACTTAGCCATTGGGTGACCGGACCTGGTTTTAGGAGTTTTATTAATCCTTGGTTAACTTAGGGAAATCAGTGGTTTAGATTTGGCCAGAGGCTTGAGTTGCTGACTAGCCAGCCAGCTGCATTTCAGTTTGGAAAGTTGGAGAAAATCAGCCTAAACTCACCTGCTTCACGAGGTTGTTATATATGTCCATAAATTGAGGAAGGGGAGGCAGAGCGAGCTCCTTCAACCCCCTGGAACACAGCAGGTTGTGCATATAGTTGAAATAACTGCAGGTTGCAAAAAGAAACGACAACCGGTCAAAATATACTTAGCAAAAAGTCTTCCAAATTATTCACGGCTGAGATCATCCATTACGCTAAATTGTAAAGGTGGATTGCTAGCGTGTTGCCTGAACTTAACAGTTGCAGGTTGCAAACCACGGATTGTGGCTTTGTGGTAAGGCGGCGGAGGCAGCAGGAGCTGACTGCGGTGGTGTTGCGCGCAGCCACTCTCCCACTAGTCTGCCTGCCATTCTACATTATGTAACGTACATCACAGGCATTTTTGTATCCTATCCCATTTCAAAGGCAGTGGGGTGACCTTTGTTGGCTTAATCCCTGCTGTGACACAGACACTTTGTATGGAAGAAATGCAAGGGAATGAAGTTCCAGTGGCATTGCAGACTCAAATTTTACTTGGCCACGATTTCCAAACCCTTCTTTGGAAATCTAATCAATTTTGTAGCACTACTTAGAAAAACACACATGTAAGTATCTCAGTGCAGGAACAGTTTTTGTTTTATTTTTTTAAGTCTGAAAGTGGGATTCTTACAGTGTGGCTGTTGACCAAACCAGATTGGCAGAGGGATAAACTTGGCAGTGTCTTTAATCAAATCTAATTCACATATTTTTTGACTTAAAGTTTCCTTAAAGTGATATCTCTGGAATGAAGAGGGCTCTCTTGCTGTACTTATTTTGCACAAGGTGGCATACGTGGGCTGTGTTTCCACACCAGACACATATTAATTGGTGTTCTGGGTTGGCATTTGTACTGTTCAGATTATCTGTTTCTGGATTTGCAAAAAGTGCCGAAGGATAAACTAAATATAGGAGCTTGGTTCTTAAAACCTGCCAAGCCATGAATAAAAAAAAGCCAACATTGAAATTAAATAAGCACAGTCTGTGGTGCACAGGTAGGTTTTTAACCGATCTGGTTAAGTGCATTGAGTCAACTCAACCACACAGCCACAAACTACATTGGTTGGATTAATGTGCAATCAACCAAATCAATTTTGTGTTTGCATAAATCCAATCATTGTCGGCCTTTTGAGGTAGGCCAGGACAGGAAAAGGACATGATGAGAACTTCTGGAACTTTACTTTTATAGGGCATAATAAGAATCTTGAAAACCCAACAGATCTTCTTTGCGGCATCCTTTTCTACCCAAGACAGACAAGGTGGATCAATTTTGAGTTTCTTCCTCAACCCCCCCTCCTTTCTTTCCAGGCTGAGGAGATGTTTTTGTATCAGCTGCTGCATGCTTTCTTCAAGATTATCACTGTTGTCCTCCTACGATCAGGATAGTCTCCTTTTTGCTCTTCACAACAAACTTGTGAGATAGCTTGAGCGAACCACTGGCTTGCTATATTCAAGGAAGGATTTGATACCATATCTGATGGGCTTTGATCTAAAACTAGCCACTTGGATGCCTTTGATTTATTTATGCATTTTTCTTTTGGGGGTTTAAACCGTGTGACAGAGGATATTTTGGAAGAAGGCTTTATCTGCAGGGAAAGTATTAAATCTTATAAAAAGGAGGAGTAGGAGGAGGAAAATAGCTACCTTATTAAGCCCTTATGGCTTGATCTTGGTTACTTGATGTTGTTGACATTGGTGGCGGGCAGCTTTCTTTTCAAGTTGAGCTTCAATCTGCCTGAACATGGTTGAGCTGAGAAACTAAACAGGGTTGGGCCTAGTTTAAATTTGGATAAGAGAAGTATTTCCAGAGCTGTAGGCTGAACGGGGCAAGTGAACAACAATCCTGAGCAAGGCCATAGCTAACTACTTTCATATTCTTTTTAAGAGAACTCTGTAAATATGTCTTGAATTTTTTTTGGGGGGGGGATGAGGGCTATGTTTGATGTGGGCAGTATTCCGAATTGCAAATATTTGAGGTAAGCCTCTATGTCAGTGGTGGCGAACCTATGGCACGGGTGCCAGAGGCGGCACTCAGAGCCCTCTCTGTGGGCATGCGCGCCGTCGCCCCAGTCCTAGGCCTTCAGCTGGGTTTTATAAAACCTTTTTGCTTTAGGCCTCCGCCGCCGTGTGCAAAAAAAAAAAAAGGTTCAATCAATCAGTCAATTTCAACTTCTCACGGAAAAAAAAAGATCTTGCAAAGTTGGAATTGAACTTTTTAGTCCCACCCAGTCTGCTGTTACCACCGCAGCCACGCCCACCCAATGGGCCACACCTACCCAATGGGCCACACCCACCCACCCAGCACCTGACGATGCATAAGTGGGTTTTGGGTTGCAGTTTGGGCATTCAGTCTCTAAAAGGTTTGGCATCACTGCTCTATGTACAGATAGTCCTCGGCTTACGACCCCATGTGAGCCCAAAATTTCTGTTGCTAAGGGAAACAAGTTGTTAAGTCAGTTTTGCCCCATTTCGCAACCTTTCTTGCCACGCTTTGAAGCAAATCTCTGCGGTTATTAAATTAATAACGAGGTGGTTAAGTGGCTTCCCCACTGACCTGGCCAGAAGGTCGCAAAAGGGGATCACATGACCCCAGGACATTGCGACCGTCGTAAATACAAACCAGTTGCCAAGCGTCCGAATTTTGATCATGTGACCACGGGGAGGCTGCAACGTTCGTAAGGTGTGAAAAACGGTCACAAGTCGCCTTTTTCGGTGCCGTTGTTAAGTTTGAACAGTTGTAAGTCAAGGGCTATCTGCACGTCTTCTAAATAAGTTCAAGCCACTGGCTTGGTTCAAGTGGAGTTCGAAAAAAGTCCGTGGAGCTTAGCGACTTCAATCCGTACAATTACAAAACCTTTATTCGCAGAGGACCTGCACCGCGAATTTTTCGTGTCAATCAGAGGTAGGAAGTCGTGGAAAACGTCACGACCGTGCTGGTCTGTCCGTAGGAGGTGGGACCCGTGCACCTGCCTTCTCTTCTTCGTGCAGAGAGGGCTCGGTTGAGGGCTTGATCTGAGGCTGGCGCTGCCCAGTGTTCTCTTCGCCTTTGAGCAACGTTGCAACCCCCTGTAACATCACGAAGGTGGAACCCTGCCAGCCGGTTGGCTAAAATCAGGAACTTCTTGCAGTTAAGTTTGGGTGGGTGGGGGGAAAATGCTTTTCATAGAAAAAGGGAGAGTAAAAGCAGCAGTTGGTGAGTCTCTAGTGCGTAACTCTCTGCAGACTTTTTTTTTTAAACAAAAGAATTTGTTTTGGCACCGCAAGAAAGGCGATGTGACTATGCCCTTTGGACAAAAAAACAACCCCCAACAAAACAAAACATTGAAAGATCCTCTGTTTCTAATCCACAAAACAATCCTGTGCGCTCCCCTGCCCAGCCTCCCCCTCCTTTTTGCAAAGTTTAGCCAGAGCTGTTGTTTTTTTTCCAACATGGCTTGGATGTTTTGGCAAAGGCGGCTTCAACGTTCTGGCCTTTGCCTCTTTTTTTGTCGGGAAGCAGGGCGAAAAGTGTTGAAATAGCGGAGCAGGTTTGATTTCGTTTTTGGCTGCAAGGGGAGGAGGGGACGGAGAAGGACTCTGCCTCGATAAACTGGTGGAAGGAAGGAAGGAAGGAGCAAGGGGGAAAAGGGCTGGGTTTTCCTGCCCGAATTGAAAGTCCCTCGCTTTTTATGCTGGACTTATTTTGTTCCTCGCGAGTCTCTATTCCTGGCCAGGATAAACCCTCCGCTGTTTAGGCTGCACCATTTCCAGGGATTGGTTTGGACTGCTCTCCCAGTTTGCTTTAGTCCTTCAATTTCTGGCACGGGGCACTTGAGAACTACGCATACCGACCTCCAAAATCCTTTTCTGCTCTTTTCAAGGTCCCACAAGATGGCCAAGGTCAACATCCCCAGACGGCTTGGGAAGGTGCTTTGGTCTGCTGTCATTTCCATCTGCGTCAGTCTGCAGGTAAGCCATGGATCAGACGAGGAAAAATTAATATAGCATCATGGTTAAAATCCTGGGCGAGGACCTGGGAGGTGGTTTGCAGTGCCGACTCAGGTACCAGAAATCTAGGACTCTCAGAAATGTATTTTAAAAAAAAAATTCAGAAAGAACAAAAACAAAGTAAGTTTGGTTTTATTTAATAACATTTTATTTTATTTCGGTTCATTTTTTAGGAAGCAAATTAAGCCAGTCGATTAATTAAGTAACTCCGTAAAATTTTAAAACTTTTGTTTAAGGACATGTTACTTTACTTTAAGAGGTTGCTGCTGCAGATCTCCCTAAAGCCCCTGTCTCCAAAGGCAAGGATGGAAGAATTAGGCTGGGGATTATGGGTCACACATTCCTTCCTCTTTCAAGAGGCATCTAAAAATTCCCACCGAAGAGGTTGCTGAATTATTCTTTGTACAAATTTCTCTGCAAATTTCTTTATCGTACCCTGGAGGTTTTGGTCAGCCAGACAAACATGAAGAAGAAATTATCATATTTTTTTTTTAACTCACTGACTTGTAGTTACGTCTTCGTCCAAAAGGGCACAGAAGCAAAGGCTGAAGATTAGATACAGGACCATTCCCCATTCCCCCAAAAGGCAGTTATGAATTTGTCAAGCAGACTCTTCTGTGAAACATTTAGCCATATCTTTGACATACTTCAGCATTGACAATGCTAACCGCAAAGCTTATGCAAGTCTCTGCGCTTTTGCTTTTATGAGTAATGGTAGCCTTCTAATTAGTGTTTTTGTGATCTAAACAGCTGTCACCCCTCCTTTATTTTTTTGGCAGAATTTACATGGGGTAGAAAAGAGGGAAGCTGAGAGTCCTGCTTTAGAAGCAATTGAGTAGTAATGTGTTTTTATATGGTAGAATGTTTTTTTCCCCCTTAAAGTTCCATCGAATACTAACAAAGTGGGAATCGGTTACCACAATAAAACTGCTTATTTATTTAAGGCATTTGCCAGGCCAATATCAATAGTGGAAGACATTGAGCAACGAACGGATTTTGAAATATACAGCATAAGGTTAACATGAGGAATCGGCAAAACCAGCAAGCAGATTTCTGCCTGAAAACCGCTTGATTGAGTGCCTTCTAAAATTGCACGGTACTCATTCTTGTAGAGCATACCTGGGGAGTCTTAAAGGGGCTTTTCCAAAAGGCAACTTGACTATGTTTTTGTTCTTGAGAATATAATAATAATAATAATAACAACAATAACAACAATAATAATAATATAACAGTAGTAGTAGTAGTAGTAGTAGTAGTAGTAGTAGTAGTAGTAGTAATAGGCGCCTTGGGTGCAATTCCAAAACAGCTGGAGCACCACTTGAACACCATTGGCATTGACAAATTCGCCATTAGTCAATTGCAAAAGGCGGCCTTACTAGGAATAGCTTCCATCCTGCGACGATATCTGTGATACCATCCAACATCCACATCTGCCTATCCCAGGTCCTTGGTAAGGACTCGATAGGTAGACAAAAATGCCAAATCCAGTCTGAACATCTGGCTGATAATCTGTGCCAGATTATCAATAATAATAATAATAATGATGATGATGATGATGATGATGATGATGATGATGATGATGGAAGGGACCTTGGAGGTCATCTAGTCCAACCCCCTGCTCAGGCAGGAAACCCTATACCATTTCAGACAAATACTGTAGCTGTCCAACCTCTTCTTGAAGTCTCCAGTGTTGGGGCATTCACTGCTTCTGGAGGCAGGTTGTTCCACTGGTTAATTGTTCTCACTGTCAGGAAGTTTCTCCTTAGTTCTAGGTTGCTTCTCTCCTTGATTATTATTATTATTATTATTATTATTATTATTATTATTATTATTATTATTATTATTATTATTATTATTATTATTATTATTTTAATTTCTATATCGCCCTTCTCCCGCAGGACTCAGGGCGGTGCACAGCATATTAAAACAGATACACATATCAATAAAAATAAAAACCCCTCTAAAACCAAATTAAAACCAAATATTCGAAGCTGTGTTCCAATTAAAATTATACTTAAAATCGTCCCTAAATAAAATCCTCCTTAGGTCAGGCCCGCTTGCTGGAAAAGCCATGTCTTGAG